CTAATCCCTCAACCCTAAACCGCGTGGGACAGCTGGGCCTGAACTCTCATCGCCGACGCCTCGCTCCCCTGTGATATGAAGGAAAGGCGACCCGGAGGCCTGGGTTGCTGTTAAGGAACTTAAATTAAGGAAACCCTATAGGGTTTAGGGTTTAGGGTTTGGGGTTTAGGGTTTAGGGTTTAGGGTGTAGGGTTTAGGGTTACTATATTGGGGAAACCCAATTATTTGCTATATATACCCATTATGGCAACTTACTTTAAGTTCCTTAACAGCAACCCGGATGCCCGCCATGTGCGCTGGGCACGGGAAGATGGGCCGAGTCGGGCTGGGGCACGATGCCGGTGGGAGGCGGGCCGGGAGTGCCTTCCGGGCTTCTGTTAAGGAATTGAATTTAAGTCACCATAGTGGGGGGAACCCTATTATTTACTGTATATACCCATTATGGTAACTTAATTGAAAAAAGTTTCTTAAATCCCTATATTCCCCCAGTTTCCATTTGATTTTCCATGTTCTTTTCCATTCGATTCTCCATTATAGGGGGGTAAAATAACCCTAAACCCTATACCCTAAACCCTAAACCTGACCCTAAACCCTACATTCTACCCAACAGCAACCAAGCCTTTCTCAACTTCAAGCTGAAATGGGACGACCTGGTCCTGGCTTCGGCGGCGGCAGCAGCAGAAATTGCAGCCTTGTACAGGGTTTAGGGTTTAGGGGTATAGGGGTTTAGGGTCTAGGGTTCAGGGTTGAGGGTTTAGGGGTTCAGGGTTGAGGGGTTCAGGGTTGAGGGTTTAGGGTTGAGGGGTTTAGGGTTTATTGCAGCCTTGCACGGCTTCACGGTAGGAGTTCCAAACGGCTGGCTCCGTGGCATAAAGGAAGAGCTGCAAGGACTGCAATGCCTGGGGTGGAACTTAAATTAAGTTACCAGAATGGGTAATAGGGGTAAATATAGGGTTTAGGGTTCAAGGTTTTTTTACCACCCCTATAATGGAGAATGACATTGAAGATGAAATAGAAACTGGGGGAATATAGGGATGTAAGGAACGTAAAAAAAAGTTACCAGAATGTGTATATCTCTCTATATACTAATAATGGGGTTCCCGCAATATAGTTTTAAAATTAAGTCCCATAACAGCAACCCAGATGCCACATGGTATCCCACCATCCCAGGCCAACCCAAATAGTCGAAGATCACCTGAGCACTTGCAACTTGTGCAAAACTGCCCTACCTACACCCGTTTCTCTGACAAGTTTGGGGTTTATGGAGTTTAGGGACCTTACTCTGAAAAGTTTAGGGTTTATG